ATATATAAATTAATAATGTTGCATTTTTGGTTACAAATTAGCACCTAAATTATTGCGAGCCCCTGACCCCCAAACTAGAATTAAATCTGTTTTTTGGAAGTCAGTGATTCCTCTTATCTAAATGAACATTTTACAGCCTTTGTTTATATATATATCGGTATCGGTAGAACTTTTGTGTGTTAACCTATGCGTGCGTGCGTGTGTGTGTGTGTGTGTGTGTGTGTGTGTGTGTGTGTGTGTGTGTGTGTGTGTGTGTGTGTGTGTGTGTGTGTGTGTGTGTGTGTGTTGCCTGTGTCGTATTTGTGTGCGTATATACATATATTCTATTTGGTTTGCCTACTTTAACATGTCCTCTGTTTCGTGATAGTTAAATGACAATAACAAATTTTCGATAATGGTTTTCACAGTGAGCTTTGTATGCGAAAGTATTGGTTTCATTTTATTCACTCTATTGTACAGTTTTAAACTTAGCGCATTGTATTGCTGTTTCGCCCACGAAGTCCGACATTTTATTTGATGACAAACAGGAGCTCCCGACCTCCTCATTGTTATTTTATGATCAAAAGGTATTGATGAATGTTTACGTAAAAGAATACGAAGTATCGACAGCTGCCTTACTGTAAGCACTTTACATTCATGAAATAATTTTTCCGTAGAGTATGTTCTTGGCTTACGCAATAACACCTTAAGTACAGCCCTCTGAGCTCGTTCCAATCTCAAAAGGCTTGTTTTATTTGCCCCACCCCAAACCGAAATGCAATATGCTATTACTGACTGAAACAGACCCTTATAGATTATAAAAAGAGTGTTTTGATCAACTGAACTGCACAGTCTCTTGAAGACATAAATCAACCTACGAACCTTTGCTGTGAGAATCTGAATTTGTACATGCCAGTCGAGTTTGTCATCAACGTGCACTCCCAAATATTTGACACTATTCACAACTTTTAAAGGTTTGCTACTACATACACACGGATCTTTGTCATGACAGTGATGAATTTTAATGTCATCATTAGGTAGTTCTTTAAGGTGCTTCTTGGAGATGTCAAATCGAATAACTTGCGTTTTATCTTGGTTTAAGGTAAGAAGATTCTCGTCTAACCAGATCTTGATTTTTGCAAGTGCGCTCTCTGCATTTGCCTTTGCGGAGATCCAACTATCACCAGTCGTAGAATACAATTTGTTTCATCTGATTGTCACATGTTTTCACAGTATAGCGTGTGAAAATAGCGTGTAAAATCGCATGATTACATTACATTAATTTTTGACCAATATGTTTTTTATTTATTTATTTATTTTTAGTGCGCCCCATGTAGTTATATGCCCATGGTATAATCATAAAGGGAAATTAGTCAGTAATTTCACTCCTGCTGGAGTGCAGGCCTGAATAACCATTTTTGGTGTAACAATCTTAACTAGTCTTCCAGAGAATATTGTAGGTGTATAGCCATCTGATAATGTACATATAATATTTATGTAATTAAATGATAAATATGATAACCTGTACAGTTGAAATTTTCATAAATGATGTTTTTTTCTTACTGCTCTAACAACAAATAATAAACATTTAAATGGGTCTCTTATATAACAAATGTGCTTTCAAGCTTTCAAGCTTTCAATAGATTCCATACTTTTCTTGCGCGAAACCAACTTGCTCTTTGCCGATTTTTTAACATAATATTTTTAATACACACTGAATATTTAACATTGTTACCGCACAATAAATTCAGAAATTTCATTATTCGTATTTTACGAAGTTATTTTTGTGACACTAAATGGATCGCTGTTCCATACCATTAGTTCTTCAAAGCAATTTGGCGCAAGGTAATAAAGCGTAACTTCGTTGCAAGAAGTTAAATTGGCTTAGACTGAAGCGCTTAAAACTCGTACGGGTATAGTAGTAATTAAGAGAACGCTATAAACAAATCACTAATTATGAATTTGATTATATGAATGAGATTTATGATTTATCCAAATATAATTATTATTAGTCATTACGTTAATTGGGTTTATAAATATATTTTTGACAAGAATAAGGTGACCAAGTTTTAGCTTAACGGTGAGATTGGGAGAGGAATCGCTCTCTAACGCATTACTCCCCTCTGTCGAGGCTTGCGGGGTTGGTCGGCAGCCATCCCTGCATTGCGTGATCTTGTCTGTTACAGAAGTGGCTCCCGACGTACCCGAGCCTCTATAGCCACGAGGAAGGACCAAAAGGACCAAAGGTATGGTTAAGGGGAAAGGTGCTGAGTACCCTGGCGACTTGATCACGGCTTCTCAGGTTTCATTCTCCCTACAGTGTACGGTGTATTTTTGAGGATAGGGCCTTCGGTGACGGACGAAAGTATTATACCCCCCACCCTTCCGCTCGCCAAGCGGCAGGCAAAAAAGGCTTAGTTCTCTTAAGGTTATACACAAATAGCAGCTGGGTAACTCTGCCTATGCCAATCCCAAGACCGGATGAAAAAAGAGAAAGGGTTTGCGGAACAACCATTTTGTCCAGCATAAAACACATGTCAATGCCGAGTATCCTCGAGTATAAAAGAAGAACAACGAAAGTATCCCAATAAATGTTATTATTATTATTAAAAATCCGTCTAAGAGATCCTAAGGACGAGTGGGCAAAGTGCTTTTCCCAATGGTTCCATCAGATTCAGTATTGTATTTTTTTATGTATTCATTTATGAAAACCAACAAATATCCAAACATCATAGATTACAAGTATAATATATAAATAGCGAATTATAGGTATAGCTGTTAAATTGACACTATTTTGAAAAGATACAATACAACTGAAAACGTGCAACTTTGCTCAGTTAATTTTCTAGGAACTATTAGTTTGACTCTCAATATATCAAATTATCAATATATCATAGTTAAGGAGAATAATTGTAGTTAAATAAAATCAGTTGTCGCCGTACAAAATACAATGAGACAAATATCGAACAGATGTTGATTGGATTTCTGTTTAAATTAGTAAGATTGTATTTCCAGAGCAGTGTGTAGCAGTAAAAAAATACGACGGCAGTATCACCCAATCACTCGATTTTCCTGTCCTTAGAAAATAAAATCCTATTGTTGATTTGGAAAATCAATATCTTTGAGATACGGTTCGTATACCAAAAGAATTACTTCGTAAAGAGCAAGGCGTTGTACTAGTGGTTTTCCCACGACTTCGTCCTCGTATATTACCGTCGGCGCAATTGTCGTAAAAAAGAGGTCCAATATCAGATATGAAAAAGTTTAATGTTTTAGAAAGTTTTTGATATTTAAAATTTAAAATAAGCTAAATAAAATATCACTGAATGAGAAATTGTAGCTACTTAAATCACTCTTGCACGGGAACGTGCACAATCTGCATCAGCCGCGATGTCCACTCAAGAGCGGAACAATTGAAGGCCGATTGTGAGAACACTCAGTTCTAGCTCTTTTGCAGACAGAATAAAAATCTAAATAGAATAATGGCCTAGTTAAGAACTTGCTAGTTGACAACTTTCTTTATGTTATAAATAAATAGTCCATTCGTATCTGAGAAATAATTTAAAAGTCTGCGTTTAATAATTTTGTAGAAACTGTGCTATGTTTGTGGAAGTGCTGCTAGTCGGCCGTAAAGCTTCCTACAAATTCAAAGTACTTTGTACAATTTTTGTAATATCTTTGTTATTTCTGCATTTATTTATATTAATATAATATAATGGACGTTGTTACGTTTTATGTAATTAATTTAATGTCATATGTATTTTAGCAGATTTTTGTCGTATATTTTTCCTAGTCTTTTCAAGTTTTTAAGTGTAATATTTTCCAAAATAGTGTTTTAAAATTTATTTTGATAAATATTTATAAGTGAAAATGGTTCATATGTTCCGGACATGTAACAGATATCTGTATTTTTTCTTGTAACTTATGTAAATATATATGTATTTTGCTTTACATATTTATCTAACTTTTTAGATGAAGGGAGACCTTCTCAAATAAATAGTATTTTACCTCCTTAATGAATGTAAAAATAATGTTTTTAGTGAAAAAAAACCAGTTAAATAAAAACGGCAGTTATAATTTTAATTATACTTAAAGGGTACAAAATTATTAACAGCTAAAATTAAATTAACGTCTTTTTATTAATTATTAAATTAACTTTGGATATAGTAAGTCACCTTGTGTCACGAAACTTTCGATACGATTATAAACAAAAAGTCATATGTACTTTTTTTATGTTATGATGGTCTAAAAATATTTAGTTCACTGTATAGATGTGACAAATTTCTTGTTCGATTCAAATCTAATATTATTAGAGAACCTTTCTAAATTTTAATCAATACTATAGAAAAAAATCTCCATTGTAACTCGACTAGGAATCGAAGTTCAGTGCTACTTTAGTACTTTGTAAAGAAACAGCGCTGTTGCAATGTTGCAAAAAAAGTTTAATCAACTAAAACCTTTATGCCTACTTTGTATTCGACGCTGTATTTTTAACTAGCACTGCAAATCATTGCTATTGAATAATATTTCTATTAGATTGTAAAATATTTTTTACAATTAAACCAACCAAATTCCTATTAGTTTGTATAATGAGGATGTATTTAAAAAAAACGAAAAACCCAAAAATGCACCCCCACTAGATGGCGACTCTAGCAAAAGTTGATTTTTGCAGGAAACTTATGGACCAAAGACAGTCATTTCCGTTCCTTTTAACTGACATATTAAAAAACTGAAATTTGAAAAGTTTGAAACTTAGATATCAACACCAATACGGAAAAGTACAAATAGAATATAAGTTGTTTATTGAGTTTTGAAAACTAACTTACTTTTAAACTTGAGATAAAACCGGAAAGGTGTCATGGACAAGAACGTACCGTAGCGACATCTAGTTTGATTTCGGGAACAATTTTTTAAATACTTCCTCATTAAACACGTTCCGTTTTATTATAGAAAGAAGACTAATTTTAATTCCTAGTTTAAAAAATTTTACGACCTAAACAATTTAACACATCTTAAATTGACATTTTTTCTTCTGTCATTGTCAATATGCTTTAGGTGGCCAATTGTTTGAACTAAGTACTAACTTTAGTCCTCATAAACATGAATAAAAAGACATATATGAACATTATTATTCAAAATTGTAGGGACTTATATTTTGAAGTGATCATAATTGCATCTCTTTAGTAATACTAAAATTATTGTCTTTAAAAACTGGAATCAATCACTCTATATTAGCCTCAAAAGAATAAGTACTAATTAAAAGTATTCATAATTAAAAAAAGAACTAACAATAAATTACATGCAACATTAAAAACAATGACATAGTAAAAATTAATAAACTAAGTACCTTTTACACTCAACTTGTAAACTCAAACTTAAATAAATGCTGGCGGTAACAAAACATATATTTGGAATGTAAATATCTTTGGAAATTTATCTTAATTAATAGGCGGACGAACTTTGGTAGAGAAACTGCCAATTATATTGCCTGGGGGATAATAGTTGGCTACTACGTAAACTTGACCTTCTTTGGACTTAGCTATGCCTACACCAACCTCTTTCGTGTCCTCCCAAATCACTTGAGTGAAGTGACCTGTGCCAAGACTAGTTGGTTCTTTTCCGAATTTGTGATCTTTGATTTCGGAATACCATTTGTCTACTGGCTCTTTCCCGGACACTGAGAAGCTGGGATCCGATGACCAGGCAAAGAATATGTTTTCACCATATTCATTCTGGTCTCTATGCTCCATACTGCCTTTCTTCGCTAGCGTTTTAGCCCACTCTTCGGCATATTTACATAATTTCTTACTAAGCTCAAGTGGCGGAACTCCATGATTTTTTCTATGATGATTATGTGCTTTCAAACATTCCTCTTCGAATTTGTCACCAGAAATTGAAGTCGATTTGAGTTTGTTAACTAAATCTGAAGCATAATTTCCGAGATTTTTACTGTTTCTCTGGTTGGGTGATGGTGGTGGTAAGTTATTGTTGGTTTCGACTTTAGACGTGTTAGAATTGAATTGCATAGCTCCAGGTGGGAGCACATTTGTTGAGAACTGTCCACTATAATTTCCTGGTGGATGGTAATTGGCAACAACATAAAGTTTGCCTGATTTGCTTTTAGCACTACCAACGCCGAGCTCTTTGGTACCCTTCCAAACAATTTGTGTGAAGTGACCGCAAGTCAGTACTTCTGGTTCTCGACCGAAGGAGAATTCGTTGATCTCGCTGTACCATTTGTCTATGCAATCGCGTGCCTTTATTTTCGTATTTGGATCTGCCGACCAACCGCAGTATACACTTTCGCCGTACTGTTGGTTGAGGCTGTACGCCATCGAATCTTTTTTTGCTAATTCGTCTGCCCATTTTTGACTGATTTTACAAAGGTCTTTGCTCAGAGTCAGTGGTTGTACGCCATGTTCTCTCCTGTACTCGTTGTGAACTTCTAAAGCTTCGTTTTCGAAGTCGCTGGACTTCGAGCTGAATAGTTTACTCTGAAAATGGAAAGCCAGAGTTTAATTATAGTCATGATTACATTTATGAGGTTTATTTATTGATACATTATCAATTTTCCTTCTTGAGAAGGAAAAACTGAGGGAATTTTATAATCCACCGATTTGGAAAGTTAAGTTATTTGTCATCTATATTAATATTATAAAAACCGGCCAAGTACTATGCGAACTCGCGCACTACGGGTTCCATACCGAAACTGAAAAATCATGTTTGTTGTATGGGAGCCCCTTAAATATTTATTTTATTCTAGCTTTTATTATTTACTGTGAAAGTGGCAATAGATATACATCAACTGTCAACATTTCAACTGTCTAACTATCACAGTTTATGAGATACAACCTGGTGACAGACGAACAGACAGCGAAATCTTAGTAATAGGGTTCCAGATTAACCATTTCGGTACGGAACTCTAAAAAGGTATTTTTTTAACTTTGTTTTGTTTTTACGGGGTAATCTTCTGAAATACTGATCCGATTAAGTTTAATTTACGTGGGTGAAGTCACAGGAAACGGTTATTATCATAAAATGACTAATTGTTTAATTAAAACTAATAATAAATAAATTCATATAGGGTGGTTATAACGTTGCAATAATTGCCTTTTACTAATTTAATGAGGAAGTGAGTCTTTACTTTATAATTTGAAATTTAATAATTTATTTCTAAAAAGATTTCCAGCAATTATTATTGTGCTAATTATCTACAAAACTAGGTTCTCAATTAATGTTAATAAACTAGAAGACATCTTAAAATAATTCTGCAAAAAATCACATCTATTGATCGTTGTTATTATAAAAAAAAAAACTGAGAATCAATAATCGTTTTACAAATTCGATGCTAAAACAAAACAAGTCGACATCGACTACCTTAGTAGTCGATTAAATGTGTAGCGTGCTCGTATCACGAGTGTTCGCTATGTAACGTAGTAGAAATAGTTCGAATAACATTCGTTCGGACAATATCGTTGCGTAAATCCGCTGTTAACATTTTATATGCCGGTACAAAATGCCGGTACATATACAACGCTCTAATTCTCACGCATTTCTGCATTGTTTTTTTAATACTCCCTGTTCCGGTTTAAAGGCCCGATTACGGTTGACTCATTCACGGTCATTCCGATATAATTTAATGTTCGGTAAATATTTATGTAACCGGTCTTTGTTTTAGATTATTAGGTGACGATGCTAATGATATTGTAAATTTCCACGTTTGAAGAAAGATAACGGTTATTTGTGAGGTTCTGTACCACCCATACGGATTAGATAGGCTAAGATTTAAATGAAAACATTGAGAAATTCTATAGTTAATAATTCTATAGTTAATATTTCATAGTTAATATATATAAATATATAAGACAACATTGCTCAGATTCCTGGATGAGTAGCTGAAGCCCCCGTATTATGAAGTATCTGAGAGAGAGAAAGTAAAATTGTTTGATATGACACATGATATATTATTCTATAGTTAATAATATATATAAGACAACATTGCTCAGATTCCTGGATGAGTAGGTTATCCCCCGTATTATGAAGTATCTGAGAGAGAGAAAGTAAGTAAGTATTTTTATTGACCATCACATTATACATCCATGCATTACATGAGAATTATAAACAAAAATTAAAAGTGATACAGAATATAGTAGACAGTAACCTATACATTTCAACCTATCATATATATGTGATAGGGTCAATCAGGACCCTACCTCAGCTTGTGCTGCTACGGTGAGACTCAACTCACGTAATAGCGCTGGTATTCTGAATTCGTTTGTTTGTATTGAATAGGAAACTGCTGGTCTGATATTATAAACTCTGTCACCTACCGGTAGCAACATCATATGCGGGAAATTTAAGCTATAATTTACGTGTATAAATGAATTTATTTTATTTTTAATAATTTATTTATGTATTAAAAACATTACAGAAGGTACATTTATTATTTTCGCCAAACTGCACAGCAGTTTGTTGGCGAAGATTAGCACTCATTTTCATGTACATGTATATATCTACCCACTACTACAAACATTTGCAAAGATAGAAAATACCAATTAGGGACTTAAAATAACATTACATTTACTATACTGTTAACTGGTTATTCAGAAATACATCTTTTAATTTTCTTTTAATAATAGGTCTACATAACTTTTTATCTTCTCTTAACAAGCTTATTTTATTACACAATTCCTTAACGACATACTTTGAACATCTTTTACCATAGTAATTAATTATAAACGGTTTAACAAACTTATTTTCTCTAGTCCTTTTTGTATTATATCTATTTTTAACTTTAACTTTAAATTTGTCACTATAATAATTTTCTATTGATATCATATATTTTTCTTTATCTTCTAATCATCATCGTGTCAAACACAACTCTGATACTGCTTAGAAGTAAATAAAATAAAACCTGATCCGGCTCGAAGGACCAGTTGTTCCTGGCTACCACCTTTAATAATAAAGATGATATAATAATTTAGTAATAATAATAATAAAATACTTTATTGCACTCAATATGACACATAGTTTACAAAAAAATTATTTTCTAAAGAGAAAATTAGTCAAAGTAATCTCTCTGTGCTCTTGGCGAGACAGTTATTGTTCTCTATCTTATGACGTCATAAATATGTACATATTTTTAGATGTAAATTGAAATTACTTTTAAAATATATATTTCATGTCTTAACTCGGCGCTGTGTCAGCATGATATCAAAATATAATCGATATGCACTTTTATTAGTAATTTAAGAAATATTTTATTTTATAGTACATTGATGACTTTATAAATGATTAATTTTCACAAGAACACAATTACCCAAAATTTCATGACATTTGTAATTCCTATGATAGATACATCGATAACGTAAAACGTCTATTTCTAAACGATAACATTGATAAAGGAATAGATAATTATCCAATATCTCTGTATTTTTTATGTCACATATATTTAACTAGCTTTCCGCCAGTGGTTTCGCCTGCGTGGTCTTGTATTATACTTAAAAACGTTACTTTTGAGTCACCATATCTATGAAATAAAACCGCATTGAAATCCGTTGCGTAGTTATAAAGTTTTAAGCGTACATAGGAACAGAAAATGAGCAATGTTGTAAACAATGTTTCAGAGTGGCGCGTACGCTGATTTCAAATATCGTCATCTCTGAGGTCCCAAATACCGAATTCAATCGAGTTAATGTATTATATGAGTTTTACTATACTGTCACATATTTATTACAATTATTAAGGCTACCCCAATATAGTTATTTCGTATGTCATTCAACAGTAGTTACACAAAACTGTCTTCTTACAGGTCCTTCGTCTACTTATTTTTAACCTTAGTGCTTTAAGAGTAGATTTCGAAATCAATTTTTATACCTTGTCTTCATAAAGTGGATAATATAATTGTGGAATTTGTAATAAGCGATGATTATTTCAGCTTTAATGTAATAAAATGTAAAATAAAAGAATGAACCGTTCAATGGACAGTGCCCATTTTGATGCGTATTACATTTTAGTATTTTGATTTTGTAATTTAATCTCAAGTTTTCTTATCTGAATTTTGAATTTTTCGTGAATTGAATTTTGAGATTTTAGTTTTATTAGTTAAATTTCAATTCTAATTCTGATTGATAAATTATTTTTTTAAACTTTACTAATAAAACTATGGCAATGTAATGGACATATATCAATTAATATTTCGCAGAAACAATAAATATCTATCAATAAAGATAATTTAAAATTGTTATTCACTATTCTTCCTTGAAATCGAAACGTAAGTAATTATTATCTAAATAACGGACGGATGGATCGAATTCCATGGAATTAAGATTAGCTAATCTGGAAATCGTATTTTGCATAACTGTAGTAAAATAATCTTGGATAAACCAGGCCTGATACTATAAATTATATAATTCTACTAGTTTTCCACCAGCGGCTAGACCCGCGTGATCCCCATAGGAAACTGTTTGGTGGGATAAAAAGTAGCCCATATGATAATCCAGGCTTAGAATTAAATTTATTAATAAATTTGGGTAAGGTTCCTATCTTGACACTGAATAATTACAATTTAAACAATGGTTTCTATGGTAATGGAATTAAACATTACCATAGAAAGGTAATGTTTAATTCCAGATAAAAGTTTCAACTCCCATTTGCTGTTTTTCGAGATAAAATATAGACTATGTTCACCGCATATGATGTAGCTTCCTGTAGGTGAATTTTTAAAATCGGCTCAGTAGTTTTGGAACTTATTCGATGCAAAAAACAATTAAATCTTTCCTCTAAATAATTTTAGTATAGATGAGAGAAAATTAATACTATTTGAAGTTATTACGTATAGACTAACAAACACTAGACGGTAATAAAATCAAATATGCTATTCTACTAAATAACATCTTCGAATTTGCTGTCATGTCTTAGAGCATAAATGAAAAGGTTATATACGTTTATTACCTTATGAAGTAGGTTTAATTTAATTGCGTTATAACGTATCTATTAATTTTAATTATTATATATGTTTTAATTATTGTAATATAAAGTGATTTATGAAGTCGTCTCAAATCATATGTACCTAGTAATTTTTCAAATGTGATTTCTGTCTGAGATGAGAAAATGGAGAAAATGCCAGCTCTTTCTGTGTATTTTTTGATTTATTTTTTAGTTTCTGGTCATCGATATTATAAACAAATAGCATAGATTTTCTTAAAGAAATATTTGTAACAGTCTAGAGTGAATAAATTATATTGACTCGAAGTTAACATTTCAATATGACACCAACCTGTGTGTTTATCTATTAAAACAAATAATCTGTAACACGAATTAAAAATAAATTTAAATCCTATCAAATTCTACTAAATAAATTAATTGTGTTTGGTTCATGATATTGTAAATAATAGTTAGTTAGTACTTAGTGCTACAACGAAAATCTAATTATTAAAATTATAAGGACTACCCCACTATAGTAATTTCGTATGTCATTCATTGATACATACTA